ATATAGGAGAGGGTGAGTGTGTAGTAGGTGAGGAGTAGGTGGAGAGTAGGTGAAGTGGGTGGAGTAGGTGTAGTGGTAGGTTTTGGTACATTTTAACAGAAAGGGATGGAGCAGATAGAGGTCAGAAAAGGAGGAAGTAGAGATGTAATTATCTCTTTTAAATCTTCAAGTGAGCTGCAATCAAACATTGGCAAGATCAAAGAGTGGTTCAAGGACTGGAGCCAATCTGTGATGGAATGGAGGCCAGATTTTCATCTGCAACAAGAGCGGTGTGTGTGGTTGAGATGCCATGGTATTCCCTAGCATCTTTGGAGTAGGGATACACTTAACAGCATTGGTAATATTTGGGGTATTATTCTCAGCGTAGACGATGATGTTTGTCACCCAAAATCTTTCTCTTACGCTACGATTAGAGTGGCTATCGTATGCATGGAGCTCATCAATAAAACTATTATTCTAGAGTGTAAGGGTTATTCGTATCCCATCCTTGTTTGTGAAGATCATCTAGTCGATTCTAGTAGATTGAAGTTCTTCGGCATGAATGACTCTAGCTCCACTGAAACCTGCTTCAGTGATGAGGGTAGGTTCCTTCCACCAGCAGTGGCTTGGGCAAGGATTGATGGTGATGAGGTGGTAGAAAAGCAAGCCTTGATTGGTGCTGACCTGGCTTCCATAAATGAGGTTGAGCAAAGGAAGGAGCCTCTTGACAGTCACATAACTGAAGAAGTAGGCACTGTTGTTGAGGAGACCCCCTGTGAAGGTGGTTCCAGCAGAGAAAAAGAAGCCTGCGTTGAGGGGTCTTTGATGGATGGGTCAGAGCAAAATTCAAAAAGCAATGATGGCACGTTCAGGTGTGCTCAGCAAGCTTTCTCTTCTGGTCATATTAGCAGGTATGATTTTAATAATGGTATTAGACCTGATATCAATTTGGCCAAAAATTTGGTTAATGAACCTGTTGCTATTCTTGGGCCTAGCATTGGGCTTGGCATCAATTTGGAAGTTTTCTTGGCCCATTCTCCTAGTGGCCATGAACCTCTACCTAAGCCCATTAAGTTTGATAATCTCAACCCTCTAAGTAATGGCATTTTAGCCCATGTCCAATCTGCTAGTCCTCTATCCAAGTCAGGACCTACTGGCATAATACCCATGAACCTCATTCATTCGGCCCAAACTAAGCCCTCTATCCTTAATACAAAATCTCTGCAGTTTGAGAAGAAAAAAGGAAAAAATAAGACTAATCTAGAGGGCTTTAACAGCTTTGCCAGATTCCATGGCTACAGAACTGAAGCAGCTCACAAGCACTCCTCTAAGTCTGTAATTTTCAAACCAGCAGCTTCTGCTTTAGCTCAGTCTGATCTATCTGATGGTAGCTCATCTTCGAACAATCATCTCCTTAAGGAGGCCAAAGCGACTATACACTTGGGGAAAGCCTTAGGCATCAACTATAATGGGAAAGAAGACATTGTGTTGAGCAAGATAATTGATTTAGAGCTTAAAGATGAAGACAGAATCTCTAATGAGGGGAAGGCTCAGAAATAAGCTTCTGCTCATCAGAGTCTTGAGTGTGCTATTTTGTTTATCTATGAAGCTATTATCTTGGAACATTAGGGGTTTGGGTAAATCTGAGAAGAATGGAAGAATTAAAAGACTGTTAAAGGAAAAGCATGTTGATATTGCTTTTTTCCAAAAAACCAAGAAAGCTGTGGACTCTGAAAATGCTGTTAGAAAGCTTTGGGGGTGCAGAAATATGGAATTCATGTCTGTGGATCCTGTAGGCTCTGCTGGTGGACTTCTATGCATATGGGACCCTTCAGTGTTCCAATTATCTGGATGCTGCTGCAATAGGAGGTATATCTTACTTTCTGGCTCTTTGTATAATTCCTTTGATTGTGTTTTGATAAACATATATGCACCAAATAACACCTCTGCTAGATCATCTTTTTGGGCGGGTATAATCAAGCTTAAGGATCACTTTCCTGCTCCTTGGTGCATGGGTGGTGACTTCAATGAAATTAGGCATATAGGTGAGAGGGTTGGCTGCTCCAGGAGAGACATGGGGATGAAACATTTTAATGAGTTTATTGAGAAATGTGAGCTCCATGACTTACCCCTTCGTGGAAGGAAATACACATGGTGCAATGCCCAGGAATCTGAGAAATGGAGCCACATAGACAGAGTACTTCTCAGCCCAGAATGGTTGATTAGCTTCAAAATGAAGTTATGGGGGCTGCTTAGATTAGTTTCGGATCACAGCCCTCTGTTGTTGATGGAAGATGAAAGAGACTGGGGTCCCAAGCCTTTCAGGTTTCTCAATGCTTGGACTCTCCATCCAAGTTTCTCTAAGTTCTTTGTTAACATTTGGAGCAACACTACTGTTATAGGGTGGGCCGGATTCAGAATTGTTCAAAAATTAAAGCAGCTAAAGCTAGAGTTAAAAAAATGGAACATTGAGGTGTTTGGAAATGTCTCATCCAAACTCAAGGGTTTAGAGGAAGAATTGCATGCATTAGACATCTTAGCAGAGGAAAGACTTCTGGATGATTCTGAAAGGTCAAGAAGAAGAGTGGTCAGAGGTGAAATGTGGCATTTGCTCAGAATGGTGGAGTGGATTTGACACCAAAAATCCAGATTGAATTGGACTCTAAATGGAGATAAAAATACTAGATTTTTTCATGTTTTTGCTAATACCAGACAGAGTAGAAACATGATCAACTCTATTGTAGTTAACGGGGTGTCTTATGAGGATCCTAGCAGGGTTAAATTAGAGATCTACCAACACTTCAAGAAGTTGTTTGCTGAGGATTGGGTCAAAAGACCCGTCTTGGGAGGGCCATTCAACACCATTAAGGTAGACTAGGGGTGAAAGAATAACCGGAAGGACCGAACAAACCAACCAAATCGAACGGTTTTCGGTCGATGTTTTAAGTTTTCAAGTGTTCGGTTTGGTTCGGTTTTTGTTTTTCTGCACATTCGGTTCGGTTTCCGGTTTTTGATTTTTTTAACCGAACCACACCGAACCGAACCGACTTATATAATATTAATAAGCCCAAAATGTGAGGCCCCAAACATATGTAAGAATTACATGGCTTGAGCCCAAATTTTATGCAAAATAGATTGAAATATAGGCCCAAAATGTGAGGCCCAACTAGGGACAAAAAAAGGGCTAAAAAATCGAAAAACCGAAAAAATCGCACCGCACCGTAATAAACCGAACCACGCCGGTTTATGTCATTTTTCTGGGCGGTTCGGTTCACAAATATAAAAAACCGAAATGATCGGTTCGGTGCAAAAATAGTGAAAAAACCGACCGAACCGAACCGATTTCACCCCTAAGGCAGACTATGTTTCCCATCATCTTGTTGCAGAGTTCAGTGAAGCTGAGGTGTTGGCTGCAATTAAGGATTGTAATAAGAACAAAGCTTCAGGCCCCGATGGTTTCAATCTGTTGTGTTATCAAAAATTTTGGAAGATTATGAAGCCTGAGATCATGCAATTTTTTGCAGACTTTCATACAAACAGCAAACTGACATATGGAATTAATAGTACTTTCATTAGTTTAATTCCTAAGTTGGAAAATCCCTCCGGCCTATCTGATTACAGACCCATTAGTCTTGTAAGCTCCCTTTACAAAATTTTGGCAAAAGTGTTAATGCACAGACTGAAGCCAGCTCTATCCTCAATTATTGGTGAAACTCAAACTGCTTTCATAGGTGGAAGGAACATCCTTGATGGGGTGTTCATTGCCAATGAAGTGGTGGATGGTTGGAAGAAGACCAACAAGAATGGTTTGATCTTAAAGCTAGACTTTGAAAAAGCTTTTGATTCGGTTAACTGGGAATTCTTGTTCTCTCTGCTGTCTAGTTTTGGGTTTGGTAACAAATGGATTTCTTGGATGAAAACTTGTGTGTCTACAGTCAGGATTTCCATTCTTGTGAATGGTGCTCCAACTAAGGAATTCTCATCACAAAGAGGGCTAAGGCAGGGCGATCCGCTATCACCTTTCTTATTCAATATTGTGGCTGAGGGGTTAAACATTCTTTTGGTCAGAGCAATTAATCTTGGCATTCTTAGAGGTGTTCATGTTGGATCTAAAGATGTCCTCTTGTCTCACCTTCAATTTGCAAATGACTCAATTCTTTTTTTTGAGGCAGATTGGGATCAAATGGTACTTATTAAAAGAATCCGTAGATGCTTTGAAATTCTATCTGGGCTTAGAATTAATTATCACAAAAGCGTGGCGTGTGGTGTCGGGGTGTCTGATGCTTTATTGCTCTCATTTGCACATCTTCTTAACTGTAAAGTTCACAGCCTTCCTTTGAAATTTCTAGGACTGCCTCTAGGTGCTAATCCTGGTAAAAAATCTACCTGGAAGCCTGTGCTTGACAAGATCATATCTAAACTCCCAGGGTGGAAGAGGAAATTGCTATCTTTTGCAGGAAGATTTAACTTTAATCAAGTCCACCCTATCTAGTTTACCAGTTTACTTTCTTTCTTTATTTAAGATGCCAGAAAGTGTGGCAAAAGAATTTGAAAAGATTGAGGCAGCTTTTTTATGAGGCAGTAATGATCTTAAAAGGAAAGTGCATTTAGTGAAATAGGGAGAGGTAACTAAAAGCTTGGACCAAGGGGGCCTGGGTATCAGAAGAATAAGAGATGTTAACATTTGTCTATTGCTCAAATGGTGGTGGAAATTTGGAACTTAAGTCAACTCTCTTTGGAGGAGAGCCATATACAGCAAATACAATATTGATGAGGCTAGTCGGCACCCACCTTTAAAGTCCTCTTACAAACATTCTAGAGTTTGGAAGGACATTTTACCTATTGGGATTCATAGCACAAATATTTACAATTTCTATAAAGATAATTACCAAATCCAAGTAGGGGATGGGAGTAGAATCAAATTTTGGCATGATAGATTGTGTGGCAGCTCTAATCTCAAGTCTACTTTTCCCCTTCTCTTTAATCTTTCAATAGATAAAGAAGGCTCTCTACAACAATTCATGGCAAGAAAATCCAGCCCAACCAATTGGAATTTTCCTTTTAGGAGAGTGCTTTTCACTTGGGAATTGGAAGAAGAAGCTAATTTACTTGGTCTACTATCTTCAGCTCCCTCTTTGGCAATTGACAAGGCTGATCATCTTATCTGGGCTTCTGCATCTACAAGTCCTAGTGTATTTACTGTGTCCTCTCTCTACTCTGCTTCTAACTCTACTCTAGGGCTTCATTTTAAAATTTGTAGGCATATTTGGAATGGGGCTGTCCCTCCTAAGGTTTCATTTTTTAGTTGGCTGGCCTGGAAAAACAAAATCAAGACAGCAGTGTTTATGCACAGAATTGGCATTTTAGATGTTTCTGCTTCCTTCATCTGCCCATTTTGTTGTTTTGAACCTGAATTTGCTGCCCACATCTTGCTTCATTGCCCATTCTCTTGGTTGATTTGGTCGTCTATAATTAATGAGTGGCGGTTCTCTTGGTGCATTCAAGGTTCCGTAGATGATCTCCTCCAATGGTGGATGGCTGTTAAGTTCAAGAATTTTGATAGGCTAATTTGGAGAGCCATCCCCCTTATTGTTCTTTGGTCGCTTTGGAAACTTAGGAATGAATGTGTCTTTGCAGAGGCTCAACCTAGTCTCTTTGGCTTGAGTGAAAATATCAAAATCAGAACAGCACTTTGGCTGAAAGCATCTATTAAAGACCTTCCTTATTCAGTTGATGATTTAACTTTCAATTGGCGTCAAATCAGAGGATGTTCTTAACTATTTTGAGCTGGTTTGTGTTGGACTATGCTAGTATTTTTGTTAGAATTCTGGGTCTGGGCTGCTAGCATGCTAAGTGTGGAAGGTTGGGCGGTTTTTGTCTTGATGCGCTAATCTGTTTTGTTCTGCTGGGTAGCTGCAGCTTTGAAATTCATAGTGACATCTGATATGTTATGGTCAGCAGGGTTGCTGAGATGGTTGTGGATGGGGGTGGTCTGAGCATCTGCTGGTATGATCTCTGCTATGTGTGAGTGGGCTGGTACCTTGTCTTTGGTCTGCTACTGGTGCAATCAGAGTTTATGGATGTTAATTAGTGGTGTGCTATGTTGGTCTGTCATGGCGCAACCTGAGTCTATGGGCTGCTGTCTGTGTTTGAATGTGTGTGATTCTGGACTGATGGCAAAGGTTCAAATATGCATTATCTGGGCTGATTTGCTCAGAGCTGCTGTTAGGCTGCAAATCAAGTCCAATCTACTGGAGTCCTGGATTTGGACTGCTAGCATGCTAAGTGTGGAAGGTTGCAGCTGTCTTCTGATATGTTAAGGTGAGCAGGATTGCTGAGATCTGGCAGAGTTTATGGTGGTTGATTGGTGATTGAATGGTGACCCGAGTGTTTTTGTAGCCTTGTTTTTGTTTTGTTTTGTTCCGCTCTGTTTGTTGGTTTCTCACCAACTTGGAGCCTCAAGTGTGTGCTAGCAGATGATTTGGTGTGCGTTTTTAGGTGCTAACCTAGTTGGGATTCAAATGTTTCACTGTGATGCTTTTTGCACCCTCTTCTTTATTGATATAAGTTATCATACTCGTTATGTTTTCTATCAATAAAGCTTCTCTTTTGCCGATCAAAAAAAGTCAACACAAGTTGAGAGAGAGAGAGAGAGAGAGAGAGAGAGAGAGCATACTGTTAACTGTAGGAGAGCAGCAGGGCAATCTGAGAGGTATTTTACAGCAAGAGTAATGAGAACCGGCACCGAATCCTCACCAGGAATCATCAAATCTATCATATTATCTGATATTAAATCCTCTGTTAGTTTTTCACTTCCATTGCCAATCAAAACATCTGCAACATCTTTCGGAACTTCTGGGATTCCACTGTTCCTTTTTTCTTTGATAATTTTATTTACTAACTCAACCATTTTCTTCTTTGCCTGAAAAACAAAATCCCAAGTTCAAACCATTTTATTTGAATTTTTTTAAAGAAATTAAATAATGTAATTTAACTAAAACTTGCCTGTAATGATTTGTGGAGTCTACTTCCAGGAAAATTAATAGGCAGAGACATGAGACCGGCAATGAATTCTTGAAATAGTTTCCTTAGAAACTCTATTTCTTCACCAGGATCTATACTTATCAATGCCTTCACTAGCACTTGAAATGCAATCTGATCATTAACGATAAGTTTAAGAACAGAGAAACCAAACACAGATTTCAACATAGAAAATAAATCGATAGATAGAATTTTATTCATTCATATTTTTTCTATATTTTGTTTTACGTTTTTAATTAACAAATATTTGTGACTTCTTAGTATAGTTTCGTTTAGCAACTCACTCTTTTAGTTTAAAAATTAAAAAGTCACTAAAAAAATTTAAAAGCTAATGGTTTATAACAAAATGTCAAAGATTCTCTTTTCTTTCTACTTTTTGCACATATTTTTATAAAAAAAAATCAAAAAGTCATTCTAAACATACTAATTTTTTTTACCTCATATTTTAACCAAAAAATTAAAAATTTACTAAAATAGTCACTATAACTGAAAGTAACTTTTAGTAATTTTTTGATTTTTTACAGAAAAATGTACGAAAAAATAAAGAGAATGATGTGACAACTTATAGTGATTTTTTGACTAAAACTGAAAGTTGTCAAACGAGACCTTAGTAACATCTTAATACAAAAGTGTTGGGGAACATACTTACTATGCAATATATGTTTTTATCATTAGTTGGACTTTAAAATTTAATTATTATTTATGAGTCCAATTTCTGAAGCAAAATTATTATCAATATGGTTTGGGTTCCTTGTCACATAATCTTGGAAAATGTTTGGTGACCACAAATTCTGTGGCTCAAATGGCCCGAAAATGTCAAAACGACGTCGTTTTGGCCTTTTCAGAGTTGTTTTGTACCCAAAACGACATCGTTTTAA